CATTTGTAATCAAAGCTCAAATTTCTAAAACAGGCAAACAACACTTATTTTTCCCCCAATATTTTTTACAATTTTGCTTCTAACTGTGCCAGCATACTTTTCTGTTACCTTTCAAGAAATCAAATGTAACTGACATAAGCATTCACAGAACATAAATCTCTGTCCCATGTACAAATGTTTGTAGAAATTAAATACATTTGCATACAAAGGAAATCCTGTCTGAAGTGCTTGCAAGTTCATTCAGTCAGGACCCAGAAGTAATGCCATGTGGCATATTTGATTAGTGTTAAGAACAAACACTTTAAATATTCACAAATAGTTTGGATTTTGAAATTATAGTCACCATTTTTCTTTCAAGTGAAAAATAAATTCAAGGAAATTGTGACCTGCTTTTGGGTAGTCGATTGACAGTTCAAAATCACTGTGTGACAGATTTGGAACTGTGTGTTGGCCTAGTTACTGGGATGTTCACTTTCCAAATATATCAGTTTAGTTCAGTGGGACCCTGCCTAGAAAAACAGGCAGGAAGAAAATTAATAGTTTGAGAAAAATCTTCGGGTAGCTTAGCTGAGAGATGGCAGTTAAGGAAAAATGCCTGAACAGTTGTCTCTGAAATCTGTGGCTCTCTCTCCTTCTAAGCATGCAGGACTATGTTTGACCAGAAGGGTCAATGCAGAGAACAGAGGAGACTAAAGAATTCTAGTAGAGTTTTAATGGGACTTTCTTCTCAAAAGATGGGTTATAGATATTTTGAGGAAACTGAATGAGATACCTGTTAGAGTCTCTTGTAGATAAGCTAGGCTTGCAAAGGTCAGAGTATGGTATGATTCTAGGTAATAAATATGCTTTTTGTTTTAAAATCCTTTTTCTTTAAACATTTCAGTGATAGGACCAAAGAAAATGATACTTTGATTTTAAGAAGGCTGCCTGGTCACTGAGTCTCTTAGCAGATATCCATTTTTACCATTAGAGTAAGAACATTTGATACACAGAATACTGGATCCTAGATCCTGCTCTGGGAATGAATGGGAAAATTTCCAAACTCAGTTCTAACATAGATAAACACATGAGGCCTGACAACTGAAAGGGATACCCTAGGAGAAACAATAAAAAGGAAAGCTTGCCCTGAACATTCATTATGAATTATCTGATCATTTCCATTCTGAAAATAATTCAGTTATTTGTTCAATGTGAAAGACATCACAGTGTCAGATTCTCAGCATCATCTATTTTACTAGCAGTGTTTTCTGTAGAAGCAACAGTGGCTTTAATTCTTCAGCTGCAACAGGAGTCTGCCCCTGAAAACAGAAAACCTTGGTACCATGTGACTATAGTAGTTATCTGAGGTACTTCATTTTTGCAATGGTCCATGACTCCTTTCCTGGCAGTGACAATGATCCAAATCCTTAAGAATAGAAAGGCAGAGCCAGTCTCTCAGATATAAAAGCTCCAAACCAAATACACTGGATTTAGGTCTGGTATAGACTGGCCAATTTAGAGAAATGCAGAGGTTATTAATCTAAACCAGTTCTGAATGGCTGTTTTAACCATTGTTGCTTCTCAGTCATCTAGCAAATCAATGAATATAACAGTTCGTTGAATCTGCAAATTCTGGTGACAAAGAGCAGATACCTTATATCAAAGGAATGGATACCTCCATGTTTTTCTGTTCCTTTTACCAAGCAAACAGACCTGTTTCTATTTATCCAGAGCAAGCCTCATGTAGCTGGCCCAGACCTTGTCATATATTAAGATATTCAAATTGCAAAGGTCATAACAGACAGTCACTTGGCTCCAGTTCTTAAGCATATTAATTCTTTTTATATTCTACATACATACTAAAATGGCAGAATGATGAGTTGTATTTTTGACTGTACAAAGAATGCATTTGGGGAAAGAAGATTAATTATCCCCAAATCATGCCTTGGTATTCTCTGCAAGAAAGGAATGGAGTCACCTGAAGCCTGGCCCATTTAGTCCCAGTAGGCCCTGTAGGTGATGTATCTATACATCATGAGCAGTAGTACAAAATGAAAGAGAGAAATTCACTGCAGTTTCTAGAAGAAACACAAAGCATGTAGTATAATATTGGTTCCAGTGGACATTAAAGTAGAAGGGGGAACTTTAAAATCAAGGTGGAACAGATACAGCAGGAAAGCTTGGGAAAGAGATCAATCAAGAACAGAGGTGGCCAACCTCTGACCCACATGCCAGGTGAGATGGGCAGCTTCTGTGCATGGCATATGTCATATGAGGAAGGAACAGGCAGCACAGAGGTAAATAGAGCAGCAAGCAGAAAGCAGAGCACCAAATCAGATAGGGAATACAGAGCAGGTAGCCAAAGCAGAGCAGCAGATCAGGCAGGAGAAGGGGATGAGAGTGGACTTGAGGAGGGTGAAAGGCTAATTTGTAGCATACCAAATGCAAAAATTGGTCTCCAATTATTAAGCATAGAAGATTTGGGCTGAAATCCCTGATCTGAATCAGGAAGACCATGAAAATAAGCCGCTGAATAAGAAGAACTATCCACAAGATGAGGTCTAAGGTCATCAAGAACTATCAACCTTGGTTACTTGCAGCAGGACACAACAGAACCAACAAAAGAACTAGTACAAGCTTTAGGCAGATTCAAAATAAGTGCCAGTTGCCTGTATCCTGAGATGATTGGACTCAGAGTTTTGGTTCAGCCTCTTAACAGAAACAGGGACTTTTGCCACCGTCACATGTGGAACAAAACAGCTCCAAATGTTTGGGATGTTCAGATGTGGGCTCATGGATTTGGGACCTTTTGTACTTTTAAAGAAGTTTTGTCTCCTATAATCTCCCAGAGATGTACGACCTTGTTACATGGCAATTTGGGCACCTCCTGGAGGTCTTAACACCTGGATTGTCCTCACATTGACACCTGAAACTGACTTCAACCACTTGTTATGTAGCTCAAAGTAATGCCATTCCAGAGCAGGATTGTCTCTAATCCATGCTACCCAGCTCATGTTACACTAAGGTGAAGTCACTCTAGGCTACACCTTAATGTAAGCACCCCATTTGCCCCTCCCCTCCCTTGCTGGCCCAGATTGGACCCACAGCCCCCCTGCCCTCCCCAGTATCCCAGAACCTCACTCACTGCCCCCTCCCTCTGCCCCCCTGCCCCTTCACCACACTTATCTGTGGCTGCTTGTGCTGTGTCCCTGGGGAGCAGGCAGGGAAAGGTTAACCTGCTTGCCCAGCCACCACTGCAGCTGCTGTCTTGGTGGGCTAAGCCAAAGAAGAGCAGCATCCCAGCAACAGCAGTGGGGCAGGCAAGTTAACCGTTCCCTAGCTGCTCCCCTGGGACAGGCAGCCGGAGAAGCAAGTAGGCAGAGGTGAGGTTGGAAGGGGCAGGGGGGAACCTGAAGGGCAGGGAGACAACCCCTGAGGTGGTGGTGGGGAACCAGGGGAGACTTCAACTGTCGAGAGAAACTTGGAATAGGAGGGGGATGAATCTAGCTTTCAGTCCTCCAGGTCCCTGCTGGCCTGAACATATGACTGCTCCAAATTGAAGCTAGCACTAAAACCTATCAACATTTGCATGACTCACAGCATAAAGTGTAACAAGGCCCTTGGATTTTGCTGCCGGACCTGGCTTCCTCCAAGGTGTCTTCCTGGAATTCTTGAGGTGAGTTGGAAATATAGCTCACAAAACCCACTTCATCTCAAACACACTTCACCCTTCTACTCCCTTCCATCCAGATACCTGTGATGCACTCCCTTGTGTGCTTTGTGGCTGGCTCTGCCAGCTTTTCACACCCTCCCCCTCCAGCTCTAAGGTCCAAGCAGTGCTGAGCCTGTGCCAGGAGGGCTATCCAGGGCTGCCCTTGAACTCAGGATCCAGGAAGCTTCTGCCTTCTGCAGGAAAATCAAAAGCAAAGAAGGGAGGAAAAAAAATCAGGCTTCCCCAAAACTCAGGAAACTTCGGGGCTACTTGTTGGCCTATTACTGTTGTGACTGCAGCTTCTAAGAAGTGAAGGGACATAGATGAAGCGGTGATCAGATGCCTTGGGTGTCAGCTACTGTCTGGTGCCTCTTCATTGCCATTCAAGGAAAGTCTGCAGGAAAGAACACACTGACTGATCTCTTGAGCAGCTTCTCCCCCCGCCCCCTGCCCTCAGCACCCCGGAAGAGGTGAAAACTAGCGTGGTCCCGGCTCACTGCCCTCCTCTGAGCCTGTTGCTGTTGCAGCGCCTCGCGCCTGTTGCAGCGTCCTGGCTCTGCCCGCTGCACCCAGAGGCTCCTCTTTCAGATGCGATCAGACGTGGCTGCAACCCCTAGGAGGGCGGGGGGGAGTACCCCACAAGTCACCGGCGGCACTGAAAAGCCAAGGGGCTCAGGCGAGGGAGGAGAGCTCCCGCGCTCCCTGCCAGAGGTGGGGGAAGCCGCAGTGGTCAGGTGTGCTGCCGGCTCGGAGCGGCGCGGAGGCCAGCGGCTTTCAGGGCTTGTGAAGCTGCTGTTCCCAATGGATGCTGCTGCTCCAGCCCCAACCTGAGCCGGGATCAGTGGTTCAGCACCCGCCCCTGGCTCACACTTGGTGGCTGGGGCACACTTTCCACGGGGACTGGCCGCGCTAGGGGGAAGCGTGAGGACCACTCCTCGTGCGCAGGGCCGGCTGCACTCGGGTCGCCGCCGGCAATGTGCAGGCGGGGAGCGTCTGCCCTGGATGCCCGGCAGCGCCGGACTCTCTCGGAGCCTGCCACGCCTCGTGGGCGGGGAAGAGCCCCTTCCCGAACAGAGCCGCCCCGGCTGCGGCCGGCCTGTCCCGGCGGCGCCGATCGGGGGCTGTGAAGGGCTCGGCTCCGCGCTGGGCACGCGGCTGGGGGCAGAGCACGGAGGTGCCTTGTGGCCGAGCCCGAGCCCGCTCCGCGCAGGCGCCCTCCGTGCGGATCTCCGCTCCGCTGCGGGACGAAGTTCAGGTCCTTGGATCTTCGCAGGGAAAACCCAGCAGATTCTCCGGCGGAGGCTGAGGCATGTGGGCAGCCCAACACCGAGACTGCTGGGGGGTCCTGTCACTCCCCGTGATGATAGCCATGGTCTGCTGCGCCCAGAGGTGAGGCACGTTCTCCAGCTGGCTTTGCTGGGTGGGGTGTCTGTCTGTGTGAGTGTCTGTCTGTGTATGATCCTTCCCCTCTTTTTGGAGGGGTCCGTGGGTTGCGTGCGCGTGTGATGGGGAAACGGAATCTGTCTGCTCGCAGGGTTCCCGATGACTCTCAATCCCACCTGTGCTTCCTCCCCCGCCAGCGTGAACGAGCTGAGCAACATGTCCTACGTGAAAGAGACCGTGGACAGGCTGCTCCAGGGCTACGACATCCGCTTGAGGCCAGACTTTGGAGGTAAGTTTTCAGACTTCTTCCCCCCACAGCGTGTAGCAAGCTCGCCTTGTATGGCCCATGTCCGAGGCTTTTGGGGTGGGGAGATAATATGTACTCCCCCCCCCCCCCCCCACACACACACACAACGCGTGTGCACACACCACATGCAGCACTACAGGGCTGGGCACGGGGGTACTGCTTTGAAATGAGTGCGCCAGCCCGAACAAGCCCTTGTCTGGCTTCCAAGGACCTCCGGTTGACGTCGGGATGCGGATAGAGATCGCCAGTATAGACATGGTCTCAGAAGTCAATATGGTGAGTACCTGCTGGCACCACGCCAGAGGGCACGGGGGAGCTGCCATACCAGCTTCACTGTGGGGGTGGGGGGGCGGGCAATCGATCCAGACAGTTATGTCCTTTCACGTCGGAGCAAGAGGGAGTTAAACGTGCGGTGTCCTGCTCGGAGCCCGGGGGAAAGTGCCTGGGACGAGGTCGAACACGAGCTTTTCCTCCCCGGCTTTTAGCATGTGGCAGAGCGCCACCTGCCGCCCGCGGCCCCTCACTGCCCGTCAGCACCAGGGACAGCTCCGGGCAGGGGGCTCTCCCGCCCCGCGCTGCTGGTCAGGACCCTGGACAGCGCCGAGAGGGGCTCTCCAGCCTCCGAGCCCGGCCTGGGCTCCCGGGAGCTGAGCACGCCGCAGCGCAGGCGGAGGAGCCGGGGGGAGCAGCCGGAGCTAAGGCAGGGGATCGGTGTCTGATCTGTTTTAACCTGCTTCACAATTCTGTCTGGGGCGGGGGACAGCAGTGGTCACTACCTTTTTCGCCAAGCTCCATGTTCGGCACGGCTGAGATGCAGGGCAAGCAGAGCTGCTGGCATTGGAGACACAAGGCCAGCCTGTTGCTTGTCCCCTTCGGCCAGCTTGTTCACTACAAGCCAGACAGGCTCTGGGGTGTAAAGGAAAGGCCTTTCACTCCACAAGGCTGCAAGAGCTGTCATGGCAAGCAGGAGGGAGACTTGAGCAGTCAGACCCTGGAGCTCAATCCTTCCTAAATTACCTGCTGAAAGCCTGAGTTTGGTTCTTGCAGGCTATAGTGGGATTCAAAGCATCAAGAGCACCTGGCTATAGAAAAGCAACTTGCGGCTGCTGGGGGGGAGGGGGGAGTTGTTTGCAATCTTTCTATAACTTTGGCCCTTGTTGCACTTTACACTGTGAGCCACGCAAATGCTGATGGGTGTTAGCACTAGCTCGAGTTTGAAGCAGTCACACTGCAGGCCAGAACTGTGGCCTGGAGGACTGAAAATTAAGAATCTTGCCCCCCTCCATTCCAGGCTCCCCCCACCCTTCAGGATTCCCCCTGCACCATCCCCCCAGCCCCTCCTGCTTACCTGTGTCTGTTGGCACTGTCTGTCCCGGGAGAGCAGTCAGGGAATAGTTAACCTGCCTGCCCAGCCCCCACAGCCTCTTTTGCTGGACTGCTGCACTTCTCCAGGCTGAGCCCAGCTCAGAGAATAGCAGCACTGGTGGTTACAGCTGGGCAGGTAGGTTAGCCCCTCCCTGCCTGCTTCCCCAGGACAAACAATGTAAGCAACCACAAGTAAGTAGGGGCTGGGGGGGTCAGTGAGTAGGGATCTGGAGTACTGGAATGGGTGGGGGGGGGGGAAGGGGGGGAAGAGGGGGGGGGGGGGGGTTTACACTAAAGTGTAGCCTAGAGTAGCTGCATGTTATTGTAACATGAGCTGGATAATATGGATCAGAGAGATAATCCTGCCCTGGAGTGACAAACTGTATAAGGAGTGCTTAAAAATAGTTTCAGGTGTTAATGTGCAGACAATCCAGATGTTAAGAGCTGCACAAAATTACCATATAACAAGGCCCTGTGATACCCTGGAATCCGAGTTCTGAAACTGGATTAAGTGAGACTTAAAGCTTGTTTTACTCGTGAAGCTTTGCTCTACACACATAGACCCTTCTGAAGTGTTAATGTTTCATGGTACATATTGTGGGAGATGGATAGACTGAAGATTTAGCTTAGATGAGAGTAGGAATGTAAGCCATTGTTAAAGGGGAAAAAACCCTCACCTTCACCAACAAAAAGAAACAAACCAGAACAAAAGCAAAGGGAAAAAAGCAACCCCTTGAAAGTACTTTCTGCAGGAAAAGGAAGATATGATGAAAGTATACACTTCATTTTTAATTAGTAAAATTAGAGAATTGGAAGCAGGTTTGGAATCAAGTACAATTCATCTTCAGATAAAGGTGTGCGGAATATCGCATTTGATTGTGCATTATATTATTTTTGAATGCATAAAGCAAAAAGTGGGAGAAAACCCCACAGTGGTTCTTGCCTACTTTTTTTGCTACTCTCCTCCCACAAAATAGAGCATCAATTAGAACATTTATTCCTTAATATTATTTCTGAATATACCACTCCAGGGTAATTTGTTTGGCCCAGTCTCATGAAGATCTACTGTACTTTCTTCCCATCTGGGGAATAAAATCTGATAGCTAAGAGGAGCTAGATACCAGGTAGTCATTTCCACTGCAATTATCAGTTGGACATTTCAAAGTAAAAATATGTTGTGAGTATCAAATTAATTTACCTTGAAATGTTTTTCCTATTATTTCTGAAGCTGCTATTAATCATTGGAACGGTTCGAGTAATCCATGCAATACAATTGTGCTGCATGATAAGACATTAATAGTATCATTAACAGATCACAAATCGGATTAACTCTGCTTTAGTTACGGTATTGCAGTTCATTATCTCAGGAAACATACGAAGGCAGGGAATCCTATGATTTTTATTTCTGTGACTTGTCTTCACTTGTAGTTCGTGGGACTGATTTAGCCCTATTACCTTCCTGGAGTACACTGTACCATGACTTTCTGGCTCCCTGAGCATCACCCCGCTTAATCTCAGGTTTACAGCCATGTTCCTCTCCCTCCAGAACAGGCTTTTAGGGTGCAATCCCAGTATGGTCATCCCCTGCATTTAGTTTGGTATCTGCAGCTTGCTTCCAGGGAAAAATGACCAAATTAACCAGTGACCATCCAGCTTTCACTAAGCACAGTACCATTTGTTTAGAACAAAAGCTTTGCAGAGAAAGCAAACCATACAAAACAGGCAGCCAATTCACCTGCTAAGCTTATTCCCCATCTTCCATATTGGTCCCTGACAAATTCAATACTCACGTTTTTTAGTTCCAAGATCAAGTGCAAGTAATTTATCTCAAATCAGGATTTCCTCTTGATACAGTTTGATTCATAGATGCTAGGGTCGGAAGGGACCTCAATAGATCATTGAGTCCGACCCCCTGCATAGGCAGGAAAGAGT